TGTTTGTCGGCATGTACCCTTTTTCTCTAGAACCCAGAAATTCTGGCAGCCTGGTTGGTTCATCTGGTCCCTCCCCAAGGACTGGCACATTTGCCTGGTTTTACAAGTTCTAGCTCTATTTCATAAGTCTAGTCTTTACAGTAGCACCATCAAAAGCTTGAGTTACCTCTCTACTTAGGTCTTTCAAGTGGACTTCCATCTTTCTTCTATTGGTTTCTATAATTTACATGGCCACTAGGACTTATTGTAGGTTTGCACTGCCTGGTACCAGTTTGCATTTCTTCATGTAACCACAGACCTTGTTCCAAAGAACAATGACATGTAACTGTTACACAAATGCCATGTGACCTGTCAGTCATGCTAGTGTGACATAGATTACAGGTGTCTTATCCCAACCAATTGCAAGAGACAGTTAACTATAATACAGAAAGGATTTTCAAATTTTCCGTCAATACTGAGATTTGAACTCTGGACCTGCCACTTGGAGGTTGACAACCTGACCACTTCACTAGGTCGCCACACCTCTGATATTTAGATTGTTTTTATTAATAAATATTACAATACATTTGTAAAATAAATAGAAGAAAAGTTTACTTTTCTGACAGGTTTATTAATAAAAATTATATCTAGTTTATAGTACAGTAACTAAATAATTATATAACAATATTATAATTTTTTCATAATTTTCTTTTTTATTATTTTTTAAGTCTTTTCTTAATAATATACTAATTATTATATTTTTTTTGTTTTCACTAAAGTTATTGGTAATTAGTAACTATTACCTTTATTGTAATTTAATTATATTTATATAACTTGTACAAAATGAATATGCAACTAGTCACATATATAGCTTTTGATTATCTATTTAAGTAGTTTGTTTACAGATTCTATACTAACTTCTATACATGTAATCTGTTAGAAGTTTACTTAATTAAATACTCTAATTCTTATATTATATCTAACAGATAGTATACAAGTTTTTATACATCTAAGTGTTATCTAATCTAATTTTGATCTTTGTCTATATATTTGTTAAGTCATTATATATTTTAGAATACATTACTTGACTATAGAGCTTCAGAGAGTTTTTTTGTTAATTAACTACTTATATTTAGTTCTTATTAACAGAATTTATTCTTACACAGTTTATTCAAATATTAGTACTTATTTTATAATATATTTTTAATATTTATAGTAGATTCTGCTTTTGTTATTAGACTTCCAATCCAGATAATACTGAAGAACTATAACCTATTTTTAGTATATTATAATTATAATATTCAATATTTCTTTCTTTTGGTTCAAGACTTTTAATAATCTAATTAGTAATATTTCTTATCTAAGATTTTTGTTCACTTAATTTTTACATATTGGCATCTGTTTTTTATATCTAATCTTTATAGTGATACTATCAATAATTCATGTTATCTTTTTACTCAAGTCTTTCTAAGTAACTTCAGCTTTCTAGTTCTATAGATTTATATAGTTACAAGGACTTATTTTAATTTTACATTGTCTATTACCAGTTTGTATTTCTTTGTGTAATTAATTACACAAATATTTTATGACCTATCAGTTATATTAGTATAATTATAATTACAGATATCTTATTCTAACTAATTAATAGAATATTGTTACTATAATACTGTTAATATATTATATAAATAATTATTCAAATTTTTACTGTCAATAGGTTTTAAATTCATAACTTATCACTTAGAAGTTGACAATTTATCTATTTTACTAAGCTGATATATCTCTTACTAATTACTATAATTAACTTAATTATTTTAGTTTATTAGTTTATTAAATATAATTAGAATTAATTTAGTAAATATAATATAGATAGATAAATATTATTTTAATTTATTTAGTTTATTCTATAATATAATTTTGCTTATCAATAATATGATTAATATGTATATTAATGATTAACTTTAATTTATATTTATTTTTTATTTTTATATTTATTTATTATTTATTATATACCAGAATCTTTTAGTAAATTATTAAATCTTATAAATAAACTAAGCTTTTATTTTTAATATATTTTTATTCTTAAATTTATATACTTTTAAAAATTATTTAAACCTGACAAGATTTTTTTAATAAAATTAATTATTTTTATTAACAAAATTATATACAAACAGTCACACATAACTATACCTTTATAAGTTACTATTAATTTTATGTGTTTATTTATAACTTTCAGCCAGAAATTGAAAATATAAAAACACTTCAAATAACAACTCATGACAGTCATCAGTTAAGCATTATAATCTACATGAATAACTTATTATGAATATCTATTTCTTTTTTTGATGGTTTTAAAGATTACTATTTTAGTTAGTATTTTGATTTTTTTTGCAGAACTAACTGGACAGAAATTGGGTATTAATCATAATAGGTGATGAACAGATGCATAAAATTAAACAACTAGAAACTCTTCATGATCACAGTAACTTTGTGATTACAGATATTGTGAACATATTTGTTTGGTTTTTCAATTATTATGTAATTTATTTATTTTTTTTTCTTTATACTAATATAAATATAGGTTATATTACACAAAATAATAAAAATACTCAAGACTGACAAATTCAAATTAAGTTTATTCAAAATTACAATTTTTATATTAAAAAATTAATAGTTTTTATTTAAAAAAATAATTGTCTTTAAATTTATGTGATTTAAAAAATAATTGTCTTTAAATTTATGTGATTTTATAATATTCAATAAAGAATGTAAAAATGTAAAAATAGAATATTAATTTTAAAAATATTTGGTAAAAATTCATAAATATTGAAAATAAATAAATCAAAATCATCATTTATTGCTCATGTTGAACTCAATAATTTATCGAATCGGCATTCGGTTAATTTTTCATTAGTGTCCCAGGAATAATAACAGCTGCAACTTTGAGCAAGAATGTTACCGACGGGAGCCCGGATAATTTCGGTTTAAAGTTATTAAATTGCTACATAGGTTCTTAGAATCTAAAAATGTATTAAAATCGGCTAGGTCTTTATCGAAATGTATACAATTTTAGCTAAATAAGGGTTTTGAGCGTGGGCAAACTCAAACTATAGTAGTTTGGGATTTTGCCACATATCATTTTAAAAGGTTCAATCCAACGTGAAAACGTAAATTATATAAACTGTTTAATTTCCAATAAGAAGCGATATGCTACTTTATCGTTTATATAAACTATTACGCTACATTAGTGCTCCAAGTTGATTAGGGTTTTATGATTTGTCCGATCGTTGGTTAGCTTTTGCTACGCCCTTAATTAAAAATAATGTCTAATTCGGTTTATTGCATTTTCCTTTAACAATTTATATAATAGTGTATACGTACATAAATATCTGACATTTAATATGTATGAAATTTGGCTAGTCAAAATTAGGATATGCATACACATCAATTGTATCCTATATCTGATGTATTTTTTAATGCGAATATTTAATGTTAGACAAAATTAGCGCCGTTGTTGAATTAATCACGGGACCGCCAATTTTTTACGCCATATCGGTAACAGAAGGAAACGTTGATATTACACAACTGATTTTACACTCGGTGTGAAACACATAAAAAAATTTTTTTACAATACTTGAACAATCTTGATCAGTCAGCTAGTGGATGTTATGATTATAATCCAACACCATTTTTGTTATAATATGTGTAAAATCAGTTGTGTCTCATCGGTATTAATATCATTCGGAAGTTGTACTGAATAAACGTCACCCCTGATTGTATCGACGGACACCTCAAAAAACTAAATAAATTGTCTGATATAGTGTTGTTAGGAAAAACCTAGAGGTTTTGCCACAGGCAAAAGTCGAAACTAGTTTCGATTTTTGCAAAAAAAAATTTAAAATGGCAAAACCGGCAAAACTGGAAAAACTGCTAAAAGGTGACGAACTAGTAAAGAAACAAGAATAAAAAGGTAGTTAAAGAAAATTAAAACCTTTTTACTGTATATAATTTATATATATTTAAAAAAGTAAATATTGACAAGATTTTTATTATATAATCAAACCATTATTCTAAGAAATTTTGCATTTATAAAGAATTATACTTATATAAAAAATAATAAAAAGATAAACTGTATAAATTGAAACCTTCATAAGTGCATACTCTGTAAGTGCACACCCTCTCTAAATGCGCGCTTAAATTCAGGCCCAAAATACAGTAAAACTTCCATAAATGCACGCTCTTGGGCCGAACTTTAACGACTGCACTTAGAGAACAATAAGAGAAGTGCATTTATGAAGGTCATGTATATATTTGGGCCTGAACTTAAACTGCATTTATAGAGGGTGCACTTATGGAGGGTGCACTTATGGAGGTTTCACTGTATCTTGTTTAATAGCCACATGCAAAATAGCCTTTCCAAAGTCTTAGAGGATTTGGTCTTCGTCAGCTTCGACTTTCGCCAAGTTTAGTTTCATTTGCCAAAAATAGTTTTGCCTAACATTAGTCCGATGTACCCAGATGTCGGTTTAACCAGAATCATTTTTATATTAGGTATATAAGATCAAAATTTTTTAAAAAAATGTTATAGTCAGATATCAAAATAACCAGGATGAGGTGATTAGTATTTAATTTTTTTATTGTATAACCAATTGAACTATGAATAAACATGTCAGGGAAATAATTTTTTTTTTTTAGGAATGAACTATTCCATTTGATCAAGTTTAAATTCTAATTCTGGGACGACACCAATATTCTCCCACTTTAAACATTCAAGGAATTTCTCATCTAACTCTTTAACCTCACAATTGGGGGTAATTGCCATAGTATTAAGAGCCTTTGGATCTGCGTTATTTGGAGTGTTTTCATTGAGTGTACAATTCTTAATGAAATCGCAAGAACGTTTTATTGACAACTGAGTAATTTTTTCAGACAGCATAAGCTAATTACATTTATAAAAAAAAAATTTAAATAAAAATGCATATGTAAAAAAGATAACACAGACAAATGAACTAATATTTCCATATCCTTAAGTCACAATGTATGTATAAAGATGTGAAAATACTAGTTCCCATAAAAATTAGGAAATTTCTTAGTATCAAGTAAATACTCACACTTTGAAAACAATGACACGCCTCTTCATAAACTTCAAGAGTGACCTCAGTTGGCTTTTTAAATGGTGAATTAGCAAAA